CTCTCTCTCTCTCTCTCCCTCTCTCTCTCTCTCCCCCCGACGGGCAGCAGCGGCTGGTGCCACGTCGAATCGGCCGCTTTGAAATTGCTCGGGCCTGTGCGAAACCCGCCACCTCAAAAACCTGCAGTGTCTTGTGTCTGGACCTCTAGGCCATGTCCGGTGGGCTGAAAGGACACTTAAAAATCACCCCGTTATTTTTCGAGGGGCGGCGAGGACCCGACAAACGTCCTGGGCGGCCCCATTTTGTTTTCTGATTTTTGCCCCAGGGGCCTCCATCAGGACATGGGGACCGGACACCGGACACCGGGCTAGCCCGGTCCGGACGTCCGGGCGGTTACCATGCTACAATCCAATAGTTTTTATTTTTTTATTTTATTTTTTTTTGCCCCTAAATCACCATTGTACCGCCGTCGTCCGTACGCCCGTACGCCCCTTCGTCCGTCCGTATGCACGGGCCGTACGGAGACCCCCGGTACGTCGGCACTGGTTTTAAACCACCACTACCTTTCGTTTCGGCCTGCGAAACATGCAGGGACCTACCCTGCGGCCGATATGAGGGAAAGGTAGTGGTCCTTTAAAGAATAGGACGTCTCCGATGAGCTCCCAACAGTGATGTGTGTGGGTAGTCTTCAGATGACCTCTGACGACATTAAACATACTGATCCACTGGAGGCCTGAGCAAGGACAGTTTACAGTGACTCTCAATGGGGAAAATTACACCTGTACCCCTTTGCCCTCTCTCCCACCCCTCTGGGCCCAAAAGAATCCTTATGAATTGCGGCCTGACAGCTGCAGGTTGATCCTCTGGTGCGGGGAAACGTCCTGTTTCACATTTCACCAGTAGTTTGGAAATATTGTGTATACCCAGGAGACCTCAGCCCGTGGTAGTGTCTTAAATGGCTCCCTACCGTCTTCACCCGAACAGAACGCCCGGTCATTATAGCCGTATCTGGTGCAATTTTCAGTCCAGGTACGGCTATAATGACCGGGCGTTCTATTCGGGTGAAGACAGTAGCTTAAAGGTGATCACTTAAAGGACCTGCACATCTGAGCCTCTTTGCTCCATGGCGGATTCATACTCCACACGAAGCGGCGCCCAACTGTCAACGACGTCCTCCTTTTTTTTTTTTTTTTTTTTTTTTTTTTTTTCGCCAGCAATTTTGGTCTGGCGGCCCCAGGCGGCCTCCCGACTTTTTGGAACGACTCCTTTTTTATTCTCAAGTTGCCTGGGGCGATGTGCTGGTGGTTTAAAGAAGGCGGCGAAGTGGGTGCCAAATTCTATCTGTCCCTGTTCTGAGATGGAGATGGCCTTCCGCTCCTTGATAGACTCCATCCAATGTACCTGGCATATCTGAGTAACACAGCAACGAACAATATCTGCGAACTATCTGCGAATTAACGGAGAAGTATCATTGAACGGTATCTCGGAACCAGCTCTCAGCAACAGATGTGGGTTACAACTCTCTGAGGAACACCGATATGAATAGCATTCCTATGTCAACTAATGCTCCAAACTTCTCTCCATTGATCTCAACTTCTACTACCGTCTTCACCCGAATAGAACGCCGGATCATTTTAGTTGTATGTGGACTGAAAAATCACACCAAATGCGGCTATAATGACTGGGCGTTCTACTCGGGCGAAGACGGCAGGACCAACTCTCACCCTTAGTACTCTTTCGTTTTCCTACCTAGGAGCACATCAGATTTGGCAATTCTCCTCCTATATCTTCAAGCGAGAGTCAATCGCATCTTGAGTGGAGAGGATATTGTTATCACATTGTGACCGTAGGGTTTGCGACTTAGCAGCCATAGCGGATGATTTTAGAGGTGAGGGAGGAACATCTATATTGGTCGGTTCTACTTGTCCTACCTCATCAGACCGTGTCGAAGGCGGTGCACTCTTCACCCGCTCTCCTACTTTCCCTGTGGAGGGAAGTTCTGCAGGACTTTCTTGATGTGGCTCTCACTTCTCCACCTCTTGAACACTCTCAGATACCAAATTGTGAGGGCAACCGCCGCAGGTTGTGGACAAGAAGGCTCACTGCGAAGATCCGGCGGCGATTGGAGAGCAGCCTTCAAGCCGCGCCTTCGGCCCTTGCGTTTGTCGGCTCGCAAGAGTCATTTTAGAAGGATTCACTAAACTGCACCGAGAAACTCAATTCACAAGAACCATGAATGGTCTGGACCAGCAAGCATACAGTGACCAGACTAGTAGCAGGGATGACAAAACGGATGATGACACCAGCAGAACAACAGAGATCGTTGAAGTCTCGTTATTGCTTGAAACCCCTCTTCTGCCTCCCGACGATCAATAAAGAAGACAGGAAAATTCTCAGCCCCTGTTGGTTGATCCACGAGCAGTTACGACCACCTTGTCCATCAGCTACCTTAACAACTGTACAATGACACAGAATACAATGCCGCTCCTACCGACGACGCCTGCTCGGAGAACATGCCATGCTGGGCGCTTCTTGGCATCCATCAGATAAGTCCCTTGTCAAGTCTTTCTCCATACAACTTTCTCCCCCATCCCCCCCCCCCCCCCCAACAAGGATCTCCCCTTTCGGCACCACCGCCATCTTTCCACCCTCTGCCCTATGGCTTCCTCAGCCCAGGTATGGCTGGCACTGCTGGATGTGAGGTGTTGCCCTCCCCTGCAGAGTGGCGTTGCACTCTTGCAGCCTAGCAGCATCCTGCGCTTGAATGTCATTGACATGCCCTAGGTTTTCCTTAAATTCCGGGCCCAGGTCCCAATTGGCCCGAAGGCAGTGCCTTTCGAGAGTCTTCTGGGTTTGTGCGCTGCCCGGTCTTAGAAAGCCCTACCCTCTTCACCCGAATAGAACGGCCGGTCATTATCGCTGCATCTGGATGGAAAGTTGTGCCAAATACAGCTATAATGACCGGGCGTTCTATTCGGGTGAAGATGGTAGCGGGTCCCTGTCAGGGGCTGACCGGGCACCCACCCGTTCTGTTACATACTGATGCCACACGGGTCCCTTTCGGACCTGACCACTAGACTACGGGGTACTTAGGCCGGCCCAGCCAAAGGCCAGACCTTTCTCCCGGTAGGCCGCATTGAGGCCACCGGTTGGTTTTCCTGCAGCAGACCAGGTACAGGCCCAAACGACATTACCGTTGGGCCTGGTGGTGCCCTTGAGGCTGCTGCCTGCCGGTCTGATCTGAATCGTCAATCTTGACGATTCAGATCACGGCGCGCTGAGGCGGCATTGAGGCCGACCGGCCGCCGGCCGGTACTTAGGCTGGTCCAGCGGCCTTTCCAGCATCTTGGAGAAGCGGCACTGAGGAGCGGCCCCGCTGCGCTATTCTGGTTTCAGCACAGCGCTGGGAAATGCAGCGCTAAGTTTAGCGCACTGTAGTAGGGAGGAGCGAGGGACAGCAGCCACGAGCGCCATAGCTCCCAGCAGCACAGCCGTCTCCCGCAGTAGCCAAGGTGCCACCTTGTACCCTCGCGTAGGGCCTGGAGCTACTCGCCATTCCGCCAATGCTCTGCCCCTCTCCTCTTCTTCTCCTTCAGACTTCCTCTTCTTCTCCTTCAGACTTCTTCTCCTTCTCCTTCTCCTTCTTCTTCTTCAGACTTCTTCTTCTTCTTCTTCTTCTTCTTCTTCTTCTTCTTCAGACTGATGACTTTGGATACGAGTTGGACAGAGATCAGTGATTAGACTTCGGTGGTAGAAGGATGTGATACTTACCGGATTCGAGACATTGGAGAGAGTGGGATTGATACCTGGCGGCATCACAGATCGGACATCGGTTACATTAGAATTCTGTACCTCCGACATTGGTGACTTATGTCCACAACACTCTGATTTTGTTCGGTGACATTTTGGGCTACCATATCGGTGACCTTCTGGATTCTATGTCGGTGACATCTGGCGCTGTCCATATCTTCCACCTCCATCGTCTCTCAGCCCACCGTTCATCTGTGTATGGTTGTACGCCCATGAATGGCTTCAGACCCCACCATCTCACGATTGCTTGTGTGTTGAGTGATGTTTGGGAACTTTGGGTGAGTTCAGTCTATGTGAGTCAGTCCATTTCTCAGACTTCCGCTGCATACATGCTCATCCTATATTGGTTGATCTTTGGTTCTGCCCATACTTGGTGAAGTATTCACTAGTATGCAACACGTTCCCTCCTGGACTCACTCCCTACTGGTTTTCTGCTGCCCTCCTGGACTCACTCCCTACTGGTTCTCTGCTGCCTGCTGGGACGTCCACGTGGCCTTGCAACTTTTATTTCATCAGCGTGGTTGGCATCTTATATGTTTTCTTTTTCTTTTTGGATTTATGTGTGTCATCCTTGCGCAGGGGCCATGCTAATCTTCTCTTCTCTGTATCGTTCCAACTTCCAATTTTAACAGATGTCCCGAACGAATTATATGTTGTTTTTTGATTGGAAGTTTAGTACTTTATAAGTTATTTCATCGGCTTCTTTGGCATGTCTGTTGTATCTTTTTCAGAGCCATTGACCAGGGCGAGTTCATGAAGGTGATGGAGCGTGTCTGGGAACTGACCCGGTACAAAGCATCGGAGAGATTTCAAATGCGGAAAAGAATCGAGATAAAGGATCCGAAGCATGCCCCACAGTCTATTCTAGATTACTTTTTTGGAAAAGATGGGGACAAAAGGTTACATCTTATGGAGTTTGCAAATTTCCTCGATGAGATGAAGACGGAGGTGAGTCCTCTGCTGTGTTTTGTTGGGCTGGTGCCAGAACATTGTACATCTACAAAGGCTAACGACCTTTAGTAACAACAAGTGACACTAGTCAGATCATTAATTTCAATCCTGCAAGCAAGCAGGCGATGATTTCTGTGTTCTACTGTACAGTTTGTACTTGCATTTGCACACTGTGCTTGCATTTGTGTACGATGCAATGCACGAGCGTCCTGCGCATGGGCGTTTGCGGATGTAAGTGTTTTTATCTTTTTTTGTTTACTGTTGTTTACGTTTGTGTGCACAGGACCACCGCTAGCTTTTCCGCACCTTGGTGCATTGTCTACGGTGCATGTTTGCAGGTGCAAGTAGGGTTGTGGGAAGGGAAAGAAAAAACAAAAGGTACTGAGGGCTCTCTTTCTTTTTTTTTTTGCCCCCCTTAAAACGGGCCCAGTGCCCAAGGCTGATATTACCAATAAAGAAGCTGTAGTGTTAAATTTCTCCATTGATTAAAATACAGTGGCGGTGCGCAGTTGATGTAAGTAATGGTTTAGTGCCATTGTAGAAAAAAGGGGTGGAAACGGAACCAGGAGAAGAACTCTCAGCCCAAGCCGGCTACGTCAGTTCGTTGAGCACGTAAGTGGTATTCAGGAGGCTGTAAGTTCGATTCCCCACGCCCGTGACCCACTGTGATATGCTTTGGGTTCACCCGCCGAGATAATTTGGCTTGGGCCTCCTGGCTGTTTGTGGAAGTATCTTCGCGCTTCCCAGCTCGCACTTGGTGTTAGGAGCTGGGGTACTGTTCCCCGCACAGAACAGAGCGAATGAGAAGAAAAAAAGGTCGGAGGCCGGGAATTCAACCCATAACCCTTCGCATTCCATGGCGGGAAAGTGCGTATATGTGAGAAAAATTTAGAGAAAAAAAATATGCAGGTGTCCCCCGATGAGGAGACAACAACATTAAAAAAAAAAGAAAAAAAAAAAAGGAGAAGAACTCCCAAGTTCAAAATCCCTAAGCCTAGCAAACTGGCTAAATGGTTGGTTCACTTTTGTCTTTTGAAATGGGCAAATGAGTCTACATGCTGTCTCTGGTATTTTTGTTGTTTCTCAACTCGTCCGCCATCCTCCTTCTGCCTCTTTTTCTGGTCGGTCGCAGGGCCCCACATGTTTGGAGAACTTGAGGCAAAAAACAATTTCTTATGCATGCATCGAAATGTAGGACACCGTTGGTGGGATCTACATCACACAGTTTTTTTTCCGGATTTTTTGGAGTTTTGTTTTTTGTTGTTGTTGCGGGGACCTTCCCTGGTCCTTGCACGGCCGGACTGGCCCGAAAAAAAGACAGGGTGACCCGGGCAGCCCGACTGGTAGCCTGGGTTTGGTCATTATTGTCAGTGTCACCGTCATTGTTGGAGTTGTCCTTATTATGACTGCAATTGGTTGCACTTGTCCTTAATACGACGGCACGTATGTTATTTTCCCCTTGTGCACAGCTGGTGCGACTGGAATTTGCACATTATGACTTCCACAATGAAGGTAGTATTTTGGGGATCGATTTCGCAAGGAGTATGGTGGCTTCTGCGGACCTTCAGTCTGTCCCCGACCTCCTCACAAAAGCTGAAAGCCTTTTGGTTGTCAATCCCGAGCTGGCAAAGGCGAAGATCTCATTTCCCGAGTTTCTGGATTTTGTCCGAATGCGGAGGAACTGGAAAAAACTTGCAGACGCCTTGACAAATTTTGAGGATGGAGTGGACGCATCAAGAGAAGGGTTGCCGCAGAAAGCAGCTAATGGCGAGCAGATGAAGAGCGAGGGGGTATCGCAAAAAGCACCTGAACTTGAAGTAAGCGCTTTGGAGCCACTGAGTCAGCAACTGTCGAGGAAGCCTCGCTATTGTATGACACCAGACAGATTTAAGGCTCTCGTCAAGGAGGTACGGGTCAGCTTCTAAACTCTTGGTAAACGACTGCATGGTGATATACTAGGTATAGAAGGACTCATAAATTAATAATAGCATAATAATCTGATGAAAATATACTATATAGTTAACAACGCAACACTAGACTTTGACTGCAGCTTGTACAGTGTAAACATATAATTTCGATTTCGGTTTTTAAATTTAAAACTTAAAAGTGTAAAATTAATGTTTAACAACTTTATTTATATCATTGTTATTTGTTTTGTTACTGTCTTTTTTTGTTTTGTTTGTTTTTTGGTGATTAACCATATTTTTTATTTTGTATATGATTAATCATTTATTTGATATTATGTGATATTATTTACATTTATTTTCATTTCTTACATAGTTTCTATCTATGCCACCGAACGTACACGTACAGGGCCTCTCCGTACGAAACGTATCGGTAATATCTGTACAGGACCTGTACGGGTACCTGTACGTCATCTCGTACGTTTTGTACAGCAGTACTACACACCCTTACCAAAAAAAAAAAAAAAAAATCTGAAAAAAAAATGTTATGCACCAGCACAAAACAAACAATGTTTGGCTGAGCATCATCTTCAGATTCTTATTAGAATATGAGAAAAGTAATAAAAACAAAACCGGGTAAAAAAAAAAAAAAAAAAACAAAGTCATACGGGATCCCTAGCGTACAAGTAGCATACGAGTACAGGAGCACGAATCCATACTCATACGGGGTGCGTACAAGTCGCAACGCAGGTTTCTACTGTATTGCATTGTAGAAAGTATTGGACGTATAGTATTATAACATTATTAGTACTTATTACTATTCATTAGCATATGCTGTATGCTTTACAAATTATAACTTTTATACTGTATTGTAATTCATATTCCATTAATTTCCATACATATTGTTTACTCTATTAAATTGTAGGCTATCAGTGTTGACTGTGCCCTCCTGCCAGGCCCTGTACCCGACCCTGCCACCCGGGCTGTCCAGCCCCATCTTCCCAGGTCACCTGGGCAACCAAAAAAGGTAGTATTTCTTTTTTTTCCCCGAAGCCGCATGATGTGGCATTTCTACATCCACTGAGATGGTGCCCAATTTCAGGGTCTTTGCATGTGTTGGGTTTTGTCAAGCTGGGGGACGGGGGTGTTGGGGCGGGCGGGGGGGGTGTCAAACCTATTTTAGAAGTAAGAAAAGTCAGAGTCTCTGGAACCACCCAATTAGTCCCATCCTAAAGAGTCGTCAAGAAACCTTAGCTCTTCGGTGGATTCTTGAAGGCGCCTTGTGGAGACGACGTTTGACAAAAAAAAAACATAAGTTTAGATCAATCTTTATCTGCTAGAGGTTGAGGTTGTTTGGGTAGAGGGATCATCAAACAGACAGCAAGCTGAGCACCAAACAGATCACAAAGAGACAGCTAACGGAAGGCAAACAGAGAATGAATAGTTGGTTGGGAGTTTGCGAACAGACTGCCCAAGCAAGCAGTCTGAAGTCTCCAGTGAGCTGTGTAATCTTATCTGTACTTCTTTTTCTTTTTTTTTCCCTCTCTCTTTCCTTTCCCTTCAATTTGGACCTTTTCTCCATTTATGCGTGTGATCCTTGTGCAGGGGGCCATGCTAATCTTCTCTCTATCGTTCTAATTTTAACGGATGTCCCAATGGACATCTATTCTTTTTCTTTTCTTTGAAATTCTTTCCCTTTAATTTGGACCTTTTTCTCCATTTATGCGTGTGATGATGTGATCCTTGTGCCGGGGCCATGCTAATCTTCTTTCTATGCGTTGTTCCAAATTTAACAGATGTACGAATGGACATTTGGACTCATTTTTCTATTTTATTTGTTTTCTTCAAATAAGGGTGTTTGGAGGCCACGTTTGGGCGAAAGTTGTGTGTATTGCAATGTCACGCAAGTGACGCAACATATAATATTGTTTTGCTGGAATCTTTTGTTGTTTTTTTCTTGTTTTTTCCTTGGGTGGGGCTGCCCCTGTGTGAGACGAAGGCGACCCCTTAGCATTCCTAACGGCCTATGTAGATCTCAGCCTACTGTCTTTCTCTGAATTGAACATACGGTCATTGTCGCTGTATTTCGATTTGGGTGGGGCAACGGCAAGGAACCATGCAATGAGAACACCAATAAACCAGGTTGTGAAATGTCACAGAAAAAGACCAAAAATGATTGAGCAGAGTTGAAAGCAGGAAACCAAAGCGAAATGCACACCAAATAGGAGCAAACCATACACAAGAGTCTCTTGATGAAGAAAGCCCTTCATCCGCCTCCAACCATCAAAACAACAACAATGTAGTAGCCCTAATGGCGGCCTGACCGCCCTTCCTACATCCCAGATCCTATCATACTAGCCTCTCTACAGGCCAATTCTCTGTCCACCTGTTGATCGCAGAATGCTGCTTGAAGACTCTGCGCATACAGACTTCCACCAACAACAGCAGGTATGTACCGCTTGTCCCCACTGCCTGCTTTCTACCCTGACTTCCACACTCCTGCGCCCAGACGGCTTTTGCGGCACCCGTCTTTCCCACCCATGAGCGCTGCGCTTAGGTACCGCACAAGCAGCATTGCCGCATTGGCACAATGCCCAGATGAACTGGTCTGGGCGGCCTCCAAACATTTGTCTGCTGAAGGAGGCTGCATGCAGACCTTTCCCAGTCCCAGTAGGCAGTGCCTCAGTCCTATGAGGTCACATGCAGGTCCCAGCCTCTGCAGCCAACTCGTGGGCTGGGCCTTCTGGTTGGTTACAGAGGTTGGCCGCTGCCAACCACGCTGGGGCCCTTGCCCCGGCCGGCCTTCGCTTAGGCCGGGCATCAATTTGCCTGGCCCGCCTTCACGAAGGGCGGACGGGACCTTTCTCTGCACGACATCGGCGTCTAGATCCTCGCACAACTATCAGTCTAGATACGGCAATAATGACCGCGTACGTTCTATTCGGGGGGTGAAGACGGTAGGCGGCCTCTCACGACTCCTGTGCATTGAAGTGGCACCCTTGTCATGTCTGTATGTGATGCGGGTGGGACCTTTCCCTGCACGGCATAGCGGCCTAGAGCCTCGCACAACTTTCAGTCTGGATACAGCAATAACGACCTTACATTCGATTAGGGTGAAGATGGTAGACGGACTCTCCTTCTTGAGTTTTTCTTGTTGTTTACTTTGTAAAGGTTGATAATCTCAAGCATTCAGCTGATTCTATCAGGCTTTGACCAAATGGTCCATTTACCAACAGTTGTAAGTGTATACCAGTTGGCCACTCAGGCTGCGTCTGCAGTTTCTCTTCTTTCATTTGGCTTCTTGCTTTTCTTCGTTTTTCATTTGCCTATTCCCTTGTTCTCCCCTGTTTCTTGTTTTTTCTTTCTTCCTCCTCTTTTGCTTTTTTTCCTCCTTTCTTTTCTTCTCACTCCCCATTTTATGATGATAATATTTGAGCAGGTCTGCGAAGTGGAATTGTCCGAGTCCCAGTTGAAGCTGGTCTTCCACATCTTCGATCTGAATGGTGACGGCAATTTGAGCTGTCTGGAGTTTCTGACCATGTTGCATTCAAGAGAGGCAGTGCCGACACCTTGTGCAGTACCACCACAGCTGTTGGAGCTTGAGAAAGCTCTTGAGAAAGCTCTTGAGACATCCTCTGAACCCTGAATAGTCGACTATGTTGATATGACCACCCGATAAGCAGGGAGGAGGTCAGAGATACTATGTGGCATTTCACAATAGGGTAAGTCTGAAGTACCTGGCCAGCATCCTCAACAGAGATGATCCACATGTTACTTCTTTTTTTTTTTTCTTTTTTTTTTTTTTTGGACCATTTCTCGATTTATGCGTGTCATCCTTGCGCAGGGGCCATGCTAATCTTCTCTGTATCGTTCCAATTTTAACGGATGTCCCGAAGGACCCACATGTTACTTCTTCTTCTTCTTTTTTTTGTTTTTTGTTTTTTGTTTTTGAAGGCTGATTCTTTTAAGCCCAACCAATTCAATGACCTGTCAAATCTGGACAGGATGGCCTTTCAGGCCTTTTTATTATCGTTATAGGATTACGGGGAACCCTGTAGCAGCCAGCCGGAGTGCAAGCCTTCAATGCGGGGGCTGCAACCGACCTGCAGGTGCGCGATACCGGCCAGGGTTCAGCCGGTAGCGTCAGGACCGAGCTTCTTCGATGGGCCAGTCGCTGTGCCTCCCCTCCGGTCCCTTCCCCCTACGAACATCAGCAGTCTCTGCTCAATGCCGCTCGGGGGGACCAACAACCTATCTCGAGGTGACGAGCACCAAGCTTGCCCAGGAAAGTACATGAGGGCAATAGGGATTGAACCCAAGACCTCCTGAATGCAACTTGCACGCCTTACCGACGGAGCTTGCTAGAATTTCACTTCACTGCAAATATAAGTCCAGCAGTCCGCACTCACATATGAACTTCACTGAATGCATCACCTGCTTGATTGGAAATTCACACCAAACCTGGTGGCCACCCAGCCGGGCATGCCCGGGCTCCTTCCAGGCCAGGGGAGTTCATGAAGGTGAACGCAGCCCAAAAACAGGTCTGAGTTTTTGAATTTTTAATTATTTTTTTCGTTTTGTTTTTTTAAGCGTGTTTGTATGGTTGTCTCGAGTTTCCTGAGAGGAGGCAGAATCCAACCTTAAATCTTGGAACTATGCATGTCATGCTGGGGAGAGGGGGTGGTCTGGGGGGTGCAGCCGCACAGAGAGAGAGAGAGAGAGAGAGAGAGAGAGAGAGAGAGAGAGAGAGAGAGAGAGAGAGAGAGAGAGATTACAGCACAATTAGCACATATAAAAGGGCCTTTACTCGTTCAGACCCTGAATGACGGACGCATCATAATGGGGCCCACTAGGCCAGAACCTAATTCGAGGAAGGCAGATCAAAGGGCATGTTCCCTAAGTCAAAAGTCACATCCTAAGTGAAAAGAAAAGTCGTGTCAAAGGCCACTGTCGTGCCCCAGTGCGAACAGTCACATCATTTGGTTTTAGAAGTGAACAGGGGTCACGTCTGTTCGTCCAAAGGATGCAGGGTCAAGTCTGTTCGTGCGGAAGTCATGTCTGTTCGCCAAGAAGTCAAAGGGATAAGGTCCCAGTCCAGGTCCAAGTCCAAGAGGGAGTCTAGATGCAGACTGGAAATCCGAAATTCAGGCCTGAAGGCCGCAGCAGCAGCAGACCCTGAGGGTAAGGTACTGGGACACATTCCACAGAGGCCTGGGACTGGGGAAAGACCCAAGGAAAACAAATTCAGACCTCGTGGAGGGAGGCCAGCATTATAAAAGACCCAGCCAGCCTCCCTCACGACAGAACGCCACTGGCTTTGTTGCGTGGAAGTGCTGAGGCACTTGTGCCCTAGGAAGCAGGGAGAGAGCGCTGGCAGAAGGAAGGCAGCCATAGCTGCGCCAATGCTAGATAGAGTTAGTAGGGATAGTCAGTAGGGATACCAGTGAGTAAGCATTCAAAGTAGATCCTCGTGTGATAGGGAGTGTGCATGCATGGTGAGTGTGAGTAGACCAGGACAGTAGACAGAGAGGGAGAGAAGAGAGACAAGGCGAGAGAAGAGAGAGGAGAGCTATGATGTTACTCTCCTGTTGGGCGCCATACCTGATGATTGGAGGCCAGCGTTAATGAGCGCCAGGCCTGGAACTCATGTTGAGAGAAGAAGACTTGTAATACATTTGGGCGCTATAACTTTGAACTCGTGATTCTCTTTGCCTAATCTGGTTATGATAATTGAGTTGTATCTTCTTGGCTACCACTCATCTTTCATTGTATCTCGTGTGAGACTTTTGCAATCTGTGTGACTTGCATGACATGCATGTTGATTGGGACACTCCAGCAAGAGACGAACCTAGAGGTTCCTTGCACATACCAGCACACCAATTCCACAGATCAATGCCCGCCGAAGACAGAGTCTGAGAGACTTCCGCAGCAACGCAGCAATGCAGTCCAACTCAGACTGACTCTGCCTGACTGACTCCCTCCCTCCCTTCCTCCCTCCCTCCCTCCCTCCCTCCCTGCCTGCCTGCCGTCACTCACTCACTCACTCGCTCCCTCCCTCCCTCCCTCCCTCCCTCCCTTCCTCACTCCCTCACTCCCTCACTCCCTCACTCCCTCCCTCCCTCTCTCACTACCTCCTCCCTCCCTGACTGACTCACTCACTTGCCCCCTCCCTCCCTACCTCCCTCGCTCCCTCACCCTCTCCCTCCGTCACCCAGTCCCACACTCCCACGCTCCCTCCTTCCTACACTCTCTCCCTTCCACACTCACTCAATCACTCACTCGATCAAACACTCACTCAACCCCTCCCTTTCTCAGTCCCTCCCTCCCTCCCTCCCTAACTCACTACCTCCACTCATTCCCTCATTCCCTCACTCCCTCACTCCCTCACTCCCTCCTTCACTCATTCATGCCCTCCCTCCCTCCCTGCCTCCCGCCCTCCCTCACTCACTCACTTACTCGGTCGCTCACTACTTAGGTTCACATAACCATTGGAGGCAGGGAGTCACTTCAATGAATGTCTGTCATCACCATGAAACACACTGGCACACCGTCATCCTGGCCACAACAGCCCCTGCAACAGTGATGCCGGCACTGCGTATTTGGAACATCGTACGGGTGCTCACTTTTACACACAGCACAGCACAGGAAAAGACTAGAGGTCATACAAAGTGGACAACAAAACGAAGAGAATTAGAACGGGAGTAAGAAAAGAGTTACAGATAGTATGATTGTGTGTGTGTGTGTGTGTGTGTGTGTGTGTGTGTGTGTGTGTGTGTGTGTGTGTGTGTGTGTGTGTCACCCTCAACCCATAGCATAAAACGCTAAGGAACTTCACAAAACACTTCGGTATGACCGTTCAGATCACAAGTCGTTCCAAACATCCGGTCTTACATACATTCTTGTGGGGAGGTGTATGAAAGTGTTCATGCGATGGCCGTCATCCTCTTTTAACCTCCAAATAAGCAAACATTCATCTGGGGGGATTTCGAGGAAAAGGTAAGGGAAAAGATCTCTAACTACCAATGCAGCATAATTTTTAAACGGCCAGTTCACCAAAGTATGGCTCTTACTGGTTTACACGGGTAAAAGCTTTCTTTGATTCGGGCGTGGGCCAGTAGTGAACGCGGCAAACCACTGTGAAAAGGCACAGTTGCAGGCTTGCGAGCCATAGATGGTAGCTCTGCCAACGTAGGCTCGTCTGAGCTGGTGGTTTAATCGTAGATAGGCAAAGATGCATTCCACGTGTGTGTACGCAGAGATAAGAAAACCAAGATTGGATAAAAAATTAAAAAAAAACAATATTGGATACTGTTACTCCCTAGTTGTCGATGGTATGTGTCCATGGTGGTCCCACCATAATCACCTTCCGGCATCCTCATTCATATAGCGTTTCATAAAGGGGCGACTCTCGTCGTCACAATGTACAAAAGAGCTTGGGCTGCTATAACGCAGAGAAGCCATCCGACCCCCCTATTCCATCAAGAGCCTTCCCAATCAAGCCTATTCAAACAGACAGACCTGAACTGCCTACCTTCTTCCTCCGATACAACGTACGGTCATTCCAGCTGTATCTAGACTGAAAGATGTCTCAAATACAGCTATAATGACCATACGTTCTATTCGGGGGAAGAAGGTAGTACACCTGTATACCCAGTCCCCCTCCCTCGCTAATGACCACTCCTTCTGCTCGCTCCCCCTGCAACAGGCTTTGCAAGTACCTCACGCAGACAACTTGAGAATCCAAATTGGCTCAATCCCAAAATTTCAGATGAACAGTGCTACCGGACCAAAATGGCCCGTGGACCCAGCCGAAAAAGAAAAAAGTGCGCTGCTGCCAGTTTGTTTTTCTTTGGCGCGCAGTGCAAATTCGTGTCCGGAAAAAGTATAGCTACGCCGGACCGGACTCCGGACTGAATCCAGACCCCGGACTCCGGACTTCCCGGCCCCATCCGGACTTCCGGAAAACTGGAATATCCGGACCGGTCCGGAACCCTTGTCCGGATGTCTGTCCGGAACCCCTGTGTTTTTTTTTTTTTTTTTTTGGGGGGGGGGRTCACGTTGGGGGGAATGCTCAATCTCAGGTCTGCATCTCAACAGTTCAAGGGTGTGTCAGAAAAAGGCTGAATTATGCCGTTGGGCTGCATTTTCTATGTTATTCTTTCGAAAGGGTGACGACCTTGAGATTATGAGATATCGCTGGATTCCAACTTGGGTCTGCATTTCAACAGTTCGTGGGTGTACCAAAGTGGGCTAGGCCCGTTGGAATGTCGTTGGCTTTTTGCCAACGGCCACGTGAAAAAAACAAAGCGTGAAAAATGGAAGAAATATAAAGAAAGTGGTAGAGTGYCATCCTATTTATTCGGAATTCTCATAGGTGCTACTGTTTTCTTCTTTTTCTTACCTTTACAAAATTTTCAGATAGCTTCGAATTGAGATCGTTGTGATGTATAAATAGATTGATTAGGTCTAGAGAGAGATTGATTTATTGGATTCATAGATTCTTTGTTATGTCTACTATA